TTTAAAATGTAAGCAACAAATCATGGCAGCTGCCATGTCTACACAACTCACATTTGTTTGTTTAACTTATACTTGACACTTTAAAATAAAAGGGCTCGGCTGATCTTTGGAATATGGTAACAGGTAGTTTGGTGACATTTTGGAGGCGATAAAGGTTACTACCTAGGACTTTGGGAATAATGTGAGAAGTACTCAGTTCCGATTAGGCATTATTTTGTGTGAGGGAAATGAGAGATCATGAGATATGTCATGTGACATTAACGGACGAATCACTGTTCTTTAATCGGAAAAGGGGGTATATTTGTAAAAATATCTGCTGTACTTTATAGCAGTAGTTTCATTCTATGTTCTGTGAAATAGTGTTGTTTAATATTTGGATTCCATGGCCGTATATAAAGTAAATCCGAAATTTTTATTACGTTTATGTGTAATTGAAAAGAATTCCTTAATTGCGGATAAGTATGAATGTCCAACATGTGGGAATGAAATGAGATAAAAGAGAGATTGTGTGAAAGGAAGGAATATTACAGATAAGTTTGAATGGCGGTGCAAGAAACCTGGTGAAAATGGACATTTTGTGATCCGCCATGCACTCAAGATTCTGTAGAAGATTAGGTAAGTTAGTATTTTTAATTATTTGAGGATATTATTTTTATGCATTGTTCTAAATGTAAGGAGTAAATAAATTAATATGGTATTATTGGAAAATTGTTATTAGCAATGATTTAGTTTAAAGTAATTAGGATTGTAAGCTAATTTTTACTAATTTAATGTATGTGCTTATTTATATTTTAAGTAGTGTTTTTTAATTTAATTATATTTTAATTTAATGATCGTGATTTTGAGAGTTATATGTTTGTAGTATTTTGGAATACGTTTGAATAGAAGTAAATGTGCATGGAAAGAATAAGTATTTGACACTAAGTATTTGTAATCATTTTTAATGTTTTGTTATAAATTTGTTGGTGACGTTTATAATAGATAATTTAGAGGTAAAAGTTTTTGGATATTTTATTTATTTAATACGTGCAAATGTCCATCCTTGGAAAGGATATATACTTTTTTGCGATCAGGTAATTTCATATATGTCCTTTTTACAGAATTTAAAGATTCACAAAATTTTCATGGATTTTCGTGAAAATTTCCTAATTTATGAGAAAAAAGCAGTGTACATGGATATAGTGAAGAGTGTGCAAAATGCCATTTTTGTGCAATTCTGGGATGTATTTTTAAGTAAAAATAAGTCGATGTGTACATGGTTTAGTGATATTTTAATTAAATGATAGTTATTTTGTGAATTTTATGTTTGTAGAAATTTGGTATACGTTTCAGTTGAAGTAAACGTGTATGGAAATAATTTAAATATTTGACACTAAGTATTTGTAACCATTTATAATGTTTGCGGTATAAATTCGTTGGTGACGTTTATAATATAATAGATAATTTAGAGGTAAAAGTTTTTGGATATTTTACTTATTTTATACGTGAAAATGTTCATCCTTGGAAAGGGTATATACTTTTTCGCAATCAGGTAATTTCATATATGTGCTTTTTACTGAGTTTAAAGATTCACAGAATTTTTTTGCATTTTCGTGCAAATTTTTTTAATTTATGAGAAAAAAGCAGTGTAGATGGATAAAGTTAAGAGTGTGTGCAATGCCATTTTTGTGCAATTCTGGGATGTTTTTTTAAGTAAAAATAAGTCGACGTGTAAATGGTTTATGTGTATGTGCTATTCTGAAAAACGCACAAGGAGTTTGCGATTGTGCACTTTTCCCCAATTTTGCAGTTAATATTTGTCATGATTAAGCAGTTTTGTTCCATAAAATTTCTAGCATAAGTGTAATTCGGCTAGCAGATTGTTGGAAAAAGTGTTGAGTAAATAAAAAGAAAAGAAACATGTCTTTACTTTGTGAAGACAAAATGGCGGCGAAAAAATAGGGGGTTGCTGTAGCAGAGTTGGTCGCCAAATTTTCGCCAACAAATCGATAAGTTACCATAATCCAAAGATCAAAGGGCTCTTCTGGTTTGCCAGTTTAACGAAAGCATCTCGGTGATGGTTCATTGGAATCACAATATCTCTTGTGATAAAACTAAGATTCTACAATAAGTGAAACTTAAGTAGCATAACAGCGTCATTCAGTGTGTAATACATTTCTTTTATCGTTCATATCTGCTTTTACACAGAAAAACTAAGTGTTGCATAAAAAGTTAAAAGTAGAACACTGACAGAAGACTCTCTAAAAAAGAACTGCGTATTGCTATGGGGATGTACTGTACAACTGTGTAAAAGGAGAAATTAAGCGACATCACACAGATCCATGGGCTGGATCTACATGATGTTGCTTAATTTCTCTTCTAGCACAGTTGTATAGTACACTCTCACAGCAATGTCCGCATTTTTTCTAACATTACTCTCATTATTACTCCTTTGCATTCCTTGCTAAACCGTGAAGAATATTCCGACATGGTGGAAAATGTGGGACTACATCTGTCTATCTAATATGATGACAAAGTACTGGTGTCCCCATTTTTTGTTACCTGCCATGCAGTATTCCATTTAAATTTGAAATTGTGAATTATGCTTCTCGGCATGGAAATAAAGCAGCTGAATGGGGTTTTGGTCCACCTCTGATTGAAAAGGTAATACAAGAATGGAAGAAGCACAAGATGGAGTTAGAAAATGCAGATAAGAAAGAAAAAACTTTACACTCATGTGCTTGTAAATTGCGTTAAAACTTGAGAAACATGTTAAGAACAGGATAATAAATCACAGGAAAAATTGTGATTACTGTTTCAACAAAAATGATTTTAAATGAAGCAAGAAACTTAGTGATAGATATGCCTATTGATGTCGTGGTGTGAGAAATTCCTGAAGAGAAATGGTCTCTACATGTGTACCAGTACTACAGTAACACAAAAATAGCCATTTGAATATGAAAGTAAGATCACAAAATTCCACAAATACATTATAAACTTGAGGGGCAGAAAGTGTTAAGATGGGAAAAATAGGAAACATGGACAAATAGTCTAATATCTGATGCACACTGCGGGAGGAAAAAAAAGGGGGGGACAGTTCTACATTTCCCGTTCTGCTGGGCCGATTGACAAAATGCAAATTGCGTTTTTCATGTCTCGAAAGGACGACTTAGCATATATATTAGATTTATATATAGCATTGTTCTAACACAGGTATTTTTGACACAAAATCGGATTTTTTTCTGAAATAACATACCAATTTTTTCCATATTTCGATTCTATGACTCAAATTATGCCTAGATATTAAATTTTGTAAAATTTGCTGCGAAAATTATGGACAAATTCAAAAATTTATCTTGACAATTTTTTCAGTTTGGACCAAGAATAATTCACTTGGAAAATCTCTTAATAATAAGTGGCAACCAATTTTTTTCCCCTGGAGCAGGAAAAAAGGGCACCTCGTTCGTACCTTTTTACATTGTTCATGAAAAAAGGTCGAAGTGTTTCTACTTCCAAATAATTTTAGCAAAGTGTCTAAACCACATTTGATGTTTCATCGTTTTCAACAAATATGCCAAATTTTAAAACGCGCCAATATATAAATTCACGTATATCTTCAGAAATTTTGAATAAAATCCAATTTTTTGCAGGTATGCTTAGAAATCAGTCTACTTTAAGATAATAATTTTATAAAAATTATTTAAAAATACAAATTTTAAAAACAAATCGTAGAAAATGGGTGAATTTATTTGAACCTAAATTTCTAAATGTGAAAGGAAGAAACAAATAAGTTTAATAAAAAAAGAGATTAATAAATATATACCAAACTCAATTAACATTGAGGACCTAAAATTTTGAGAGCTATTTTTTTAGAAACTACTCGCATGATTTTTACAAAACTTGGTATGTTATTTCAGAAAAATTCCGATTTTATGTCAATGGTATATATAAATCTAATGCGTATCCTAAGTCGCGCTTTCAAGACATGAAAAATGCAAGTTGAATTTCGTCATTCAGCCCAGTAGAACAGGAGATATAGAACTGACCCCTCTTTTTTTTGTGCAGTGTACCATCAAACAGAACAGTGGATGTTAAAGGTGCTAAGACAGTAATAAAAGATTTCTGGTAACGAGATGATGTGCTATACCGTTATTCTTGCATGTTGTGCCAATATTTTAGAACTCCTTCCTTTTTAGTCTTTAAATGAAAAATGCTGCCTAAATGTACAATTCTGCATAGAATTTATATTTATCCCAAAGGATGGATTTATGGAGAGGGTATAAACATGTGGTTACAGAAAGTATCCAGGTGGACTTCTGAAGAAATTGTCATTTTTAGTGTATGGAATTAGCAAGGTGCTAGATGGAAGTGAAGATGACATTATATAATGAAAGTGACAAACAGCAACAGTGACAACGAATGAGAAAATAATTGAATATACGACTTTGGCACCAGTGATGATGAATTTCTGGGCGTAATCTGATGAATAAATGCTAATTTTTTAATGTAAAAGTTCTGTTTTCTTTGTATAAAGTGTTATCATTACAACAAGTACTTTATTCCTTTTCTGCCTGACCAAAATTTTTTTGCGAATTCTAACTAATAATAATGCTAATAAATTTCAGTATATCTTATATGCTAATAAATCTCGTATGTCAGCAAATAAGGTACCTAGGTTGTCACATAAGTACTTTTTGGTAACATGGTGGATATTTTTCCATGACTTTATAGAGATGTAGATTAACAGAAAGCTCCTTATATTCTGCCAAATATACATTGATGTATTTCCCCTTATCAATTCTATAAATGAAATAAAAACAGAATTTTAAGATAACTAATTCATGTTGAAAACAATTAATCTAAATTACTTCAAACTGTGATAAATTTATACTACTGATTAAAAAGCGAAATTGCTAATAAACATGCTGATTATCTATACATCCAAATATTTCCTCAATTACTCAGATTTTTACAAATGCAATAGATAATTGAATAAAGAAATTGCAATGAATTTTACTTACCGGACTAGCTAATCTGGTCAAATTTTCAAAGAAATACAGAACATTATCACCCTATAGGATAAAAAAGAAAACAGGAAGATAAGTAATATTAAATTTAAAAAAATCATTTAAAAATGATGCATAATTACCCTCATATTACCATATACCCTCCTAATCACCATTAAAGCAATTTATAACTGTAAAAGAATAACTATAATGTTTGGTCATATTGAGCTCTATATTTTCATCTGTAATACATCCTCCATATCCTTCAGATGCCTGTCTGTAGCTCAGTAAACAAGGCCACTGAATAATGGAACAGCAGAGTTTGGTTCCTAGAAAAATGGGCTAGTTGTACAAAATCTGCAAGTATATTACGAATAAACACAAGTTTCCTTCAGAAAAGTCCTCAACAAATACACCTATCTAAGGCAAGATCTTCATAAGCTTTGCCATAATCAAGCAAATAGACTTATCTTTGACAAAGAACGTTTCTCTAACCAAGGATTCCCTAAAAGACTTAAACACTTAGACAACAGAACAGTTTCACGAAGAATTTCAGTCATTTCTGTAATTTAGAAAAAGGAGGGAGATTGCTTCAAACCTGATTAAAAACCAAGGTCATCCCCAACTGAGAAAATGATAACTTGGCGGAATTATAAGGATGAATAACAGAATTTTATCTTTAAAAAATGTATATAACATAAGAGTGTCTTATACATTGGCAAATAAGGCAGCTACTAAGATGGCCTAAGATCTGTATTTGATATATCTATAATTAAAATGAAGAAATCAAAGCCAAAACTGAAAAACAACAAACAGAGATGATTGAATTATTTATAATGGCAAAATAAAGGGTATGTTAAAGATTGTACAATAATTAATGTCATTATTTAAAACTTAACTACTTCTTCACTTATGATTTTCAACTCATGTTTTTATTACTTTTCTTGTTGTTGAATGGCAACAATCATTATTGTTATTAAGAAAAATATTCTTTTCTTTTTTATGTACGGTTTAGAAAGCAGTATTTCTGAAAACATGAACAACAGTATTAAAGATCTTTCTAAGAGAATCACATCTACAGAAGACCAAAATAATTTGAAAACACAAATAGCCACACACACATAAAAAAAAAAAAAAAAAGTACAGCGAATTCTCTGTAAGTACTCTCACTACACTTTTTTTTTAACTTCTAAGCAGATATATTAAGATCTAATTAAACAAATATAAGCATCTGAATTTCTAATGTAATAAAACATGGTATATTATTATACTATAAATTTGCATGTATTAAATTACTGCAATTCAGAGGCGCAGCCAGGGTTTTCAGCACCCGGGGACAACTGAAAATTTTGCGCCCCTTTCTCTGTGCCAAGAATGGAAAATATTTCACTCTAAAATTTCGTAACGTCAATTTGGCACCCGGGGTCAGGCGCACCCCTTGCCCCATCCTAGCTACGCTGCAATTATAGAACAAGTTAAGGTTATCTGCTTATACAGAATTATCATGCATATTATGGACATTTGAAGAGAGAAACATTAGTAGGTTTAAATAAATGATAAAATATTTCATTGTTATTTAATAGACTTGAAATGCACTTTTTTTAATGAGATTTATAACCAAAAAAGAATTTTACTTTAAAAAATTCACCAGCATTTCTTTACATATGTATAATTTTTAATCATAACAGAAGTCTGCAGAAATATTAACTACAGTTTGCATTTCTTTGACAGTTACGAACATTCCATTTATATTTTGCATTGATTTTTTTTATGCATAACAGAATTTATTAATGTCTTTCATATTTGAAAGGAAAGCAGGCTGTTTAAGCAGCTAACTTTAATAAAATCAGCAAAAAAGAAAAGTTTTTAATTTAGCAAGTCAGATAATGCAACCTTTTAATACAGAATATATTTGAGATGTATGGGATACATCAAACATTGAAAAGGGGACTTAGCTGCACTCTTTAACATTTTCCCACAAACTATTTTATTTACAGAATTACGAATAAACCTGAAAGTACATTGATCTGTACTAACAGGAATACCTTTAAAAATACTTGATCCACTTATCTGTGTGCCATATTTAAATACACATGTGAGCTTAAATGTCCAGAGATTAAATTTCTTAAAAGCATTATTTCAAACAATTTATAGGTAAAAGTTTACAATTGGGTGCCCCTTGTTTTTTGGCGATTCTTTTTTGACGCCAAGATCGGCGCCAGGAAGACATGATTTCAAGCTGGCCTCTACACAAAACCAAAATAAAAAGTCAAAGAATTGCATAAACTCTGTGTCCATGTACACATCGATCTGTTTTCGCTTAAAAAAAAATCCCAGAATTGCACAAACTAGGCATTGCGCACTGTTTAAATTTGTCCATGTACACATCAATCTATTTTTATTTAAAAAAATTCAGGAGGCTAAAGCAAAGTTACACTATTATGGTAACCAGAAAAAAGATTTCATCGACAAAATTTTACAAAAAATTGTCGCTAATCGAAGGGGCACTCAATTCTACACTAGAGCCAATTTAAAATATATATAGAGAGAAAATACAGCATATGAAAAGTGAGTTACATAAACTCGTATTTTTACAAAACGCCCTAATTTTCAAAATCTGAAACAAAAATTTTAACTGAAAAATATGTCCAATAATATTAAGTGCATAAATATCCAGCTCATTTGATAAAATCAATTTTATTCATATATTTTAATTAAGCACGAAACTTTATCTAATCTATTCAAATTTATGTGCAGTCAGGTCATATATTTTTCTAATTAAACTCGCTTGTCATGAATTAAAATTTTCATTTCAAACAACTATGAAAATTTATAATTATTGTAAATGTAAGATTATTTACATAAAATATCATTATCAAATAAACACTAAAAATAAAGAAATTAAAACAGTAAATAGTACAATATATCTCACTAGTTGAAATTCCCTTCTCCTATGATAGGCAGTCCTAACTGACTGGTCTTTCCAAAGTTCTTGCACAGAATAGGCGAAATCTTGAAAAGTCTTCAAATCCAAAGTCATGTAGTTCTCGTACATTAACACATGATTAGCATATTTAGAACTTTCAGGATTTTCCCATGGTATTCCAAGTTTCGCTCTAGCATCTACCAAAACTTTCATTCCTTTTATCGTATTTTGATATATAGTTGCTTTATACTGTGCTACGGAATCTGTATCAAAGTTATCACCATGAATAATTTTCATTTGCTTTAGGAAGGTACTTTTGCCACTTTCACCAGCGCCCAGCAATAACAATTTCACTTGTCGCCTCATTATATTTTTATCCTTCCTCAACATTTTGTCAATTTTCTTACTTTTTCGATGCTGTTGCGCTTCCTCAGGAGTATATTTCAAACGAAGGCAGCACGTCAAATGCTGCCACACACCCGCCATGCTGTTTTGATTCCGCCCTTACTGAACGATCTTCCTAAGATTCAATCCAAGTTTCCAGTGACGTAACAGCGACCAAACAACCTAACTTCCTGTAGCTCTTCCTTCGTTTAATTTTTTCCGAAACAACGCTCGGCATTTGACGCGGTGAACAAACAGGCAGAAATATAGCTCGCGGGTAAAAATAAGGGAAAATGAACTCGCAACTGCTGAAACAACCCTGTAGCGCCTCTCGAGTATCAGTTCTCAGTAATTCCCAATTTTCAATGAAGAAATAAACAAATAAACAAAAAAGGAGAAAAATAGCGGACGTCTATCATCATCTTATCACGCCATGGGTTGTTCTGATTAGTATCAACCGAGAGGATATGACGCTTAGCCTCTTTTCACAGTAGATTTAAAAAGAAATAAATCTTCCATTGAATAATAGAAAATTTTCAGGATCAAGATTGTCCCGTGTTAAACAGGAAGAAAGTATTCCAATGATAATACTGCGCAAGCAGTTATGCGCGATAAATCTCCCATGTTGCATTTTTGTTACTTTGAATTTTTATTTTACATCCACAGCATATTAAAGTATTTGAAAAAGTTTACAAAAATGTAATTATTCTCTAAATAATTAATAATTTTTACTTCTATCTATTCTTTTTTAAAAATAAGTGTACTGTGCTTTCTTGCTGCATGTTAATTGTTAAGTTACAAATTAAATTTATGCAAATATATTCTTTATGTATTTCTACAATAAATTCAGTCACATTATTTTAAAATTTACTTGTAGTCAGTAAATTACAACTTAATTAAAATATTTATTTTAAAAATTTCTTTATTTTATATATATACAAACACACACATATGTAAATAGTATATATTTCATTATTATTTTTAATCAATGTTCTTGACTGCTTTCTATTAATGGCTGTGATTGGTTTGTTTTGGTTTATTTGATTACGGCAAAACACTTGAGTGCTATCTGCCTAAGGGGGGATGCCTTCATGGAGGACTTTCTAAGGGAGCTGGCTCGTATACACGGTATGCATGAGGAAAACCATGAAAACGCCCATGCAGCCAGCCCGTCCGCAAAATATTAATGGCTCTGAAGCTTAGTTTTTAGAAATTTTAAACCCTCTGAATAAATAAGAACAAAGACTCTCCTCTTTCCCTCCTTTCTTGGGAAAAAACTCTAATTTTTTTAAGTGGCTCTTGCAGAATAAAAATGTCGGTTAATAAACTATTTATTATGTTTCAATTAATTCGAAACAAATTCCTAATAGGTTTAGAAAAATAATTTAAATTCGTAAATTTGTTATCAAATATATCCGCCAATTTCACACTCAAAAGTAAAATAATAGTGAATTGTTTTTAAAATAGGATGAATATTTTATTAATAGGAAATGAAACCCATTGAAAGAATTAAACCTTTTTAAACTCCACGAAAGAATTTTGTTAAACTCCTTGAAAACAGCATTTACGAGGCATTTTTTGGACCCTGGCAAAATAGAAAATATTGCTCTCAAGAGAAATAACTGCCGCAAGCTTCATGCGCAGACCATCTAACGACATTAATGCACAGCTGCATCTTGAATAATTAAGATTGTTCTTTATTAAAAAAGCTTATAAGTTTCCTTGTGACGTTAATTTAACAAGGAATAAGCAACTTTACACACAGCAACTTTTCAGGATGCAGCAACTTTTTTCTATCAATTTGAAATTGCATTTTAAACATAAGATTTTATGTTGTACATCTTTAATTTCTGAGGGACTAAATCTTTAACCGATCGGTCCTATCATAATTGAAATCTGCATACCAAACCAGGATTGTGAACATTTTTAATTTTATAATTTAAAAATTTGTAATTTAAAATTTTGTTTTTGATTTAATATTTTCCCTCACTGAATTTTTTTTATTTGAAAATTAGTTTTTTTTTTTTTTTTAAATTCTTGAAATTTTAATGGTGAAATTTCGATGTGTTAGACTGTAATCTGAAATTTTTAGATTACAATGCCCTCTCCCAGAATCCTTTTGAGTGCCATTTAACATATGATTGTTTATAACAGTATTCTGAATCAACGCAATAAGAATTATCTAAAAACCGTATGCTTGAATTTTTCAATAAAATTTTCTTAGAATTTATGTTGTTTTAATATTTTAATATCACAGCTTGTTTAGAAAATGCATATGTGATTATATATTCATCAATTTACTTTTAATATGCGACCAGTAAATATGAAATCTATAACAAAAATTGCTGAAATATTTTAAAAGAATTTATCAGGTTTTGAAACAATAAAATATAAGCATGACAGAATTCAAAATGAGAGAATACAAAATGAATGATCCAAAATAACCAATGGAAAGTAGCAATATTATCTAAAATGAATGAAATAATACAAGACTGGGTGTTTCTCAATATGAAGCAAAGTTTTATTAATCATATTGAGCAGCGTTTCTCAAACTTTTTTAAAGAAGAAACCACTTTTATATATTAGAATATTTTGCTGCCCTCCTTCACTCTTGTCCCTTTCGAAAGCAATTTTGTAGCATATGTTACTACTAGTATATTTATATTTTTAAAATACAGTTAAATAAAATCCGTTTAATTTTAAATCGATAAGAAATTGTTAAGTCAATGAAAGAAAATTTACATTTCTTTTAATAATCCAAGGGTATTAGAGCTTGGATAATCGTTATGTAATTAACTGAAAAAATAAATAAATGTGGTTCTCCCCTTAATGAGATTTTTGTTGGTAAGAATCGAATAAAAAGTCCGTAGGCTGAATAACCGATAATAAATGTCATAAAATGCCAGGAGAACGATAAACAGCTGGTATCTGTAATTTTCAAACTCTGAAATTTTCAGCTATGCTGTGATATATACTATGAAGAAGTTAGATGGGGGGGATCCCTTACAGGAGACACATTTTTGGGGATTGGCATTTTTCATTTTGATATATTACTGAGGTAATGGATCTTCGGAGCAGAAAGACTGTAGAGTCTTTTAGGGTATTTTGAAGCAGGAGACGTGAAATTTTGCAGTGCCCTCGTCGGGACTCGAACCCTGGGCCTCTTGAAAACTCGTCGAGTATGCTTCCAATTACACCACGAAGGCATGCGGAAAGGAGGGGAAAAATACCTTATATGACTAAATGAGATATATTGGATTACAAGCTCATTACGGTTATCTGTGTAAAGGGCGAGATGTCTTCGTAGAAGACTAAAATTTTCCCCGAAAGACTTTTTTTTTTTTCCAATGACGGGTCCTCAGCCGACTTTGGCTTGGCCGCAACTAAGGCCAGAAGTGGTGGTCATTTGATTCTGGAGGCACGTAATGCGTGGGCCACCTTTGCCTCCTATGAAGGGACGGTCCCACGAAGGACTTAAAAAAGTGGAAACTGGCAAATATTCACGTTGCAAAAAGGGCATTGGCTCATATTCACGTCAAAGCATCATGAATAGATTGTTACATACGCTACGTTACCGTAATTACCTTACGAGTAACGTAGCGTATGTAACAAAATCCTGCGAGTCCGTGTTTGGGAATTTAACCCGAAATCCAGTTACCACTATTCAGCCATTTTATATACTCAGTCACTGGTGAAGGTGAAGAAACACAAGATAAATTGTGATACGATGTCTGAATTCAAAAGAGAATGGTTTTCACAAAGAACAGCGTATTCAAAGAAATTACACAGAGACTTCAGTAGCTTCGATTTCTTGCTATCGATTGAAACTTTTGAATGAAAAATACGAATGTTACTTAAATTAGGTTCTTAATAACATAAATAAGGAAGAGTTCCTCACTGTGAGAGAAATACTTTAGAGTTTTATTTCTGTTATTGCTTGGGAAGACGAAATCAAGATATGGAATAGTAGTCGATTTGAACTTTTACAAGTTATTCTAAAATACTATTTCTTATTGTGAGAGGAGTTTTTCTAGATACAAATCAGTTAAGAAGCATCTAAGAATTAAAACTGAAAATCTTAATATCGCACCCTCTCGAGAAGAGCAACCGGAGTAATGAAGTATCTTCTAGTATGTCCTCTACGATTTTGATAGCAGAAAATCAAGCAAAATAGCATTTTAAAATGTTGGAATTAAAGATTTATTTCAAAAATTAACACAGAAGTTTTATTTACTTCCCTATACGTGGTTTTAACATTTTATAAAGCTGATTTTTTGGGGCGCACTGAAAGGGCCGGCAAAAGATCTATCTGCCCCACTGGGTATATGTCGTTAATTTGAATTTTATTGTTTGTCTTTTTTGGAAATCTGGGAAGACCAAAAGAGTAGGTTTCGAGAATTCCTTGTGGTCCATGTAGAGTCATTTGTGGTCCGCGGACCACAAATTGAGAAATGCGGATATAGAGCATTGATTAATTAAAACTTCCTTGTTAATAAATGAAAAAGAAACTTTTGAAAACCAGAATAAATTAATTTCTGATATTCGTCAAATTTTAATATGCAGAACTTCTGAGTTTTAAGAACAAAAGTCAAGTTGGTTGTTAGATTTTTATGGCGAAAAATCTGAAAAGATTATGATGCACCAAACAGTATAATTGCAAAAAAGGATGAGTATTTAATATCTCAAAACAGGTATGATAAAAAAGTGTGAACCAATACTGCAAACCTGAAAGTGAGGGGGAGGGCTGACACAAAGAGAAATGGAACAGAAGTAAAAAGGTATTAAAAACAACGATCTATTAAAACCAACAAAAATATTTATGAATAAAATAAAACTTCCAGTAAAAGATTCTGATTAAAAAATAAAATCAAATGACAAGAAAGAAAATAAGAATAAAGATCACTGAAAATTTACTAATTACATTTAAAACTTGAATAGAGGGATGTATACATCACTTTTAGTAAAATCTTGATTAAATATAGAACACAAGGTAAATTGTAGTTAAATTTGGTTATCTGAATAAGGCAAAGCACTAAAGGGCTATTTACTTAACAGAAAGAATGCTTTCATGGAGGGCTACCTAAGGTAAAATGGACTTTATTCAGGTTACACACGGGGAAAATTACGAGAACTGATCTAGCAGCCGGCCCTCCCGATTGTGTTGAATAAATAAAATTTGTCTTAACCACTCGGCCATTGGTGTAGCCAGGCCTTAATTTATAAAATTAGAAGTGCCAGAGCCCTATGATAGACCGTCAGGAAAGAGGAGAAAGAATAAATAAATGGAGTGACTAATAAAATTGTTAATAATTACAATTATATATATATATATATAAAAATGCTGAAAGGTTTCAGATTTTAACCGATTTTAAATTACGTCCAAAGGGGCGTTTTTTAGACGTTTTGTGTATTATCTTTATTTATTATATATCATGTTCTTCGCAATTAAACCATAAAATTCAGTTAAAGAGCAATATTGCAAAATAATTTTAAATTGAGCTTATCTTTAGAATTTCCGATACAGAGTCTGACGCACTGGTGATAAAAATGTTTTTTCTGTACAACGTTGCCATTGCTCGCTTTGAAATCCTTGAGTTTGTTAATAAAAAATTCGTTAAAGTTTTACAAAATATGAAACCGATAATAAAACAAAATTTGTGCTTCCAGATGC